GAAGTTTGTACCTTTTGACCATCTTCCTCCAATTTCTCCTCCCCTCACCCCGGCCACTGGTAGCCACAAATCTGATCTGTCAGATCAGGACTTCTATCCTTTGTACCATATTTTAGGCTAAAAATTATCATTCTCATAATGCAGAATGGAGGTTAGTTACCTTTAGAGTCAAGAAAAGTAAAAACAAAAGCTAGAATTTTCAGTACTTACTGTGCACAGTGTTTGAAGTGTCTTACATGTATTAATTTCTTGTTCACAATCTTCTGTTGGCTTCCCATCCCACTCAGAGTAAAATACAGAATCTTCACCATGCTATCATGTCCAGCGTGAGCTGGCACCGGATACTGCTCTCCCTTCCTCCGCATGGCCTCCCCTTATTCCTTGAACACAGTTGGTGCTCTTCTGCCTCAGGGCCTTTGACCTTGCTATTCTCACTAGCTGGGTTATGCCTTTCCCCACTGAACTGCCTGGTGCTCTCCCTCACCTCCTGCAGGTCAGACTTTCCATGTCTCCCTCCTTATGTAACACGGGTGTGTGCACCGTACACCCACCATCACTCTCCTCCCCTTCAACCCTTTTTCCCTGCTTTATTTATTTATTTTTGTATCACCCTCTGATAAATTATTTATTGTCTGTCTGCCCCCAGTGGATTACAGACTCCATTAAACCTGGCGCTTTGTTTTATTCACAGAAACATGTTCTCAGAACAATGCCTGACGCATAGTAATGTTCACTAAGTATTTATTGAATGAATGCATAAATTTAGTCCATATAAAAAGCCATTAGAGAAACATACCCATGTATCTTTGGGGGCTGAAATATATGTTTCCATAGTGGCCAAGACCCTCTGGTTTAGCTGGATCTAGTTAACCTGGGCCAAGATGTCCAAGATGCAGAGCAGTGTGGGAAGATCTGCCCTCCTGGTTCATTCCAGCCTACAGCAGGGACAGCTAGAGGAGGTGGCCTACAGCCCTCTTGGGGCTGGGATGACTGCTCTTTTCCTGAGAAGAATGAGATTAGGTGAAGGTCCCACTGAGGGCTGGCAGCATCTGCTGGAAATAAACTTGGAAGAAGTGACATAGCTGGATAAAGTGGGGAATCATAAGAATGTTATGGAATGTTCGAGGTTCCCAAATAAATGTGTTCTCAGGGGAGAGCTGGACACTACACAGATGGACTGAAATTCTAAGTGGCAAACATCCCACTGAGCAGTGCTCTGGAGGAGGACTGGGCCCTGAAAGCCGTCGAATGTATTTTGAAGAATTTCACTCCAACCTGAGATGATCTCTTCAATTATTCTTCAGGTTGCTGTTCAAAGGAATCTGGGTTTTCTCCAAAGGAAGCCAGGTGACCAGGTTTCCTTTGGAACCTGAGTCAGGCAACTAACCATACTTCAGAAGCTGGACTCTGTGTCTTATGCCTCCACCCTAAAACTGCAACAGAACTGAGCTTCCATATATCGTAGAACAAAGTAGGGAGCTTATCTGCTTAAGAAGCAGCATGGTTGAAATAATGAGACTCTGAGAAGGAAGCTGTGTCTCATCTTACCAGCTGCTTACTTCCTGAAAAGCTGTACAAGAAAATAACATGTTCATGACCCGAATGTTTAAGTCAGCTAGGTGATCGTGCTGATTAAAAGATTCCTATGGGAAATATTTTGGTAAAGTAAATAATCCTTAGTTTATAGATTCAAAACTGAAACACATTTCTAAACTTCCCGTTTTCACACAGCAAAGTCTCTCTTTATCGGCCTGTTTCACCTCTGAAAGCCACCTTGCTGAATTTCAGTATCAGTTATGCCAAATAACCATCTCTTGGCTGTGAAAGGATTTTCCTGCAGCCTCTCAAAGACAAGGACAGATGGCGTTCCATTGGGGGTAGTCCCAGCTCTTTGTTTTAGCAAATATTGACACTTCTGTAGGAAACAGATCCAGATACTGTTTCTTCCTAACTCATTCTGGCAGTTCTGAAGGTTTGGAGATATTTAGTGCAACGGAATTGGGAAAGTGCACTTACCACTGAATTAAGAAAGACATACATCAGGGTGAGTCATGTTCATGGTTAATTGATGCTTGTAAGAGTCACAAAGTAGTAAATAACACACTGTGATCACAAAGCACTTTCAAACAGAAATAAGACAGAAAGGGAGAAAGGAGACAACTGAAGGAAAATGCACTCCAAAAAAATTCCAGTTACTGTATGAAACTCTTTTTTTTTTTAAGATCCTTTCTAATCTAGATGTTAGTAACAGCAAGGTTATGATAGTTTTATTCAGAAAATTAGGGAATATTTACTGTAACTCAAAATTAGGATATATTGATGAAAAGGACTGAAAGTCATCATACATGGTCCTTTCGGGAGAGTAATTGGCAGACTATATCTAACTCCTCTAAAAGTTTATATTCTTTCACTCAAAAATTTGGGGGAATTCATGCTATAGAAATAATCAGATATGTGCCCAAAATTAGGTCTAAAAGAAGTTTATTGTAAAATTGTTTATAATAGTGAAAATATATGACAACAACCTAAAATTTATCAGTAGTAAACTCTAACTAAATCAAGGCACATCTGTGTTCTGGGATATTTTGCAGCTTATAAAGATGACAGTGTGGAACTGTATTTGCTTATAGTGGTTTTTAAAAAGCAGTTACAAAAACAATTTGTTACAAAAACAAATTATTTTTATAAAAATTGTTATATAACTTACATATGGTATTATATAAATTATAAAAATTATTTTAATAAAAATAATATAAATACAGGTGTGTATACTATGTTGGGTGGGGAAATTCTAGGTGATTTCAAGTTCCTATTTCCTTTCTCTCTTATCTGTTGGTGTTGTTTTACAAGGAGCACATATTACTTCTATCATCAGGAGGAAAACTGAAAGTTATTTCAAGTTTGTAGGAAGGAAGTCACAGATAAGTTTTTATCAACTTCTCTTACAAAAGCCTGATGCAGTGTTTTGCTGGGGCCTCCCAGCAGGTGAGAGGTGGGGGACAGGACAAGAGTCAGTGCAGATGGAGCCTTGAAGGTAAGACACAAGGATGAGGCCCAAGGTTCAGGTGGTTTCCAAGACGAGCCACCCACCCATCTGCCCTTCCCTGAACAGGCCTCCTGAGTGCTAATGTCGTAACTCCTGTTTCAGCGACGCTCCTTCCTCTATCCTGCCTCTGAGGTTGCCATGAACGTGACAGTACCCAGAGTATCCCAGTCTTTACGCAGGGACAAAAATCGTTCTTCTATAATAATAAGAACAAAACAAAAAGAGAAGGAAAATTGTAAAATTATGTGTATTCCATTCCTAGAAATGCCCTAACAAATGACACAAAAACCTGGTGGCTTAAAACAACAGAAATGTGTTCTTTCACAGTTCCAGGGACCTGGAAGTCTGAAATCAAACCGCGGGCAGGCTGTGCTGCCTCTGAAGGCTCAAGGGGAGAATCTTTCCTGCCTTCTTCCAGCTTCTGGTGGCTTGTTCAGCATTAACTCCAATCTCTGCCTCTGTCTTCGCATCACCTCCTTCTCTATAGGTGTGTGTGTCCTTGTCTGTCTCTTAAAAGGACACTCACATTGGATTCAGGGCTCATCCTAATTCAGTATGATGTCACCTCAATCCTTACCTTAGTTACATCTGCAAAGACCCTATTTCCAAAAAAGGTCACAGTCTGAGGTTTTGTGTGGTGACATGAAATCAGGGGGGTCTATCCAACCTACTACAATATCATAGACAACATTTGGTCAGCAAGCAGAAACTATGACTAGTATATACCTTTTTAAAAGGTGGGCGAAGGCAGGCAGAGCTTGGCAGGGGCTCAGAAGCAGATCTAGATGGCCCAGGAAGCCCCGCCTTCTGTTCTTGCATCAATAGTTTGGCAATCAGAAGGCTGCTGCTGAGTTAAGATCAGATAGAGATTCCAGAATTCAGGAAGATAAAACTAGGAATTAGAGAAAACCAGCAGGGACAAAGAAACAGTTAGGCAGGAACTGGTTAATGATGTGAATCAGTAAAGAGAACATTATAGCTGCTATCAAAACTACAGATATGCTTAAGGGAGATGATTAAGCAAATGAGAGAGTTCAGGTGCTAAACGAAACCTCCGTTAGGTAATTTTTAAAAACCGTCAACCTTATGGAATAATGATCAGGGTCACTGGCCTCAAAACGAGTTTCTTATAGCAAAGGAGCAATACATCAGTCCTCTGTAAACTGTACCTATATTAATTCTCCATGGTGGTTGCTTGGGTTTTCTACTTTGTGAATGATCAGTGACTTGCCCCACAACCCAACTTATGTGCTGCTTCCCTATCATCAAATAGTGTAAAGTTGGAGAGTGAAGATCAATTGGAGTGTTAGACTTTCAGAATGTCATCAGACGGGGCATGTGCAAAAAAAGTAAGGAAGATGCATCACAAAGATGCAAACTTGTCAGAGAGAGATGCCTTTCAGATTCTTCTTCTAGTTGGAGATGGTTAAGAGTGGAGTGTATTGTCTTTTGCTTTCTTTTCTAAAGTTGTGCGGTGGTGCTTTAGGTCTGATAGCCTCATAGTTAAGTGAGAACACAGACCTGGTAGTAATTTTTTTTTCAGGTTTTAAAACTTTTTATTTGCATATTTTAAAAAATTGTGCGTTCCACTAATTAAAATCGTTTGAACAACAACAAATGGCACTCTGATTAAACTGCATTTTACAGCCCTCAGGACACTGTGGACCAGCTTGCGCTTTACTCCAGATTTCACTGTCGTCCCACCCAGCCTCCTCCTTCACCAACATGCAAGTTCTTTTCCTTCCCTGCCAGCCAGACAGGCGGGCGGACGGGAGAGGCAGGCGCGGCCTTTGTTGTTAGTAGTTCTCCATTCTTTGATGTGAAAAGGGGCAGCACAGTCATTTAAACTTGATCCAACCTATTTGCATCTTACCAAGTTAAACAGCTGAAAGAAGTAAAATAAGGAGGCAATGCTTGTGGAATGTACAGTGCATATTGGCGGTGCACGCCTCATTTACGACTCACCTGCTTGCTTCTCCTGTTCAATCGTTTCTTTTGAAGGCAGTGGATTTTTCTCTTGCGTTTCTGTTTTCTTCAACTTCGACTTATTGAATTTCTCAGTCTCACCCATATCGGGTTTGTCAGACACGGCTGCAGAGGAAGCAGAGTGAGTTGCGAGCGAGCTGAAGTCCGGTCTGCGCGGTGGTCGCTGCCGAGTGCCTGAATTTAGTAGTCATCTAACATAGTCATCAGTGGTCACCAGGACTTTCAGGGACACTCAAGGTGAGAAGGGAACTTAGAAACCTGGCCAGTTCAAGTTCTGACTGTGCAGGTGAGAGGTGCAGCGTCCAGAGATATAGGTGCCCTTCCCAAAATGACTTGCTTGGGCCAAACCGGGATTAGACTGGGGAATCCCAAGCTCTCGCCACATACGTACCATCGGCTTTGACCATTCTCATCAGGCATCATTTCTGTTTTCTTTTAAATTTTATTTTATTGAAGTATAGTTGATTTACAATGTTGTGTTAATTTCTGCTATACGGCAAAGTGATTCATACATATATATACATTCTTTTTCATATTCTTTTCCATGATGGTTTGTCACAGGATATTGAATGTAGTTCCCTGTGCTATACAGTAGGACCTTGTTGTTTATCCATTCTATATATAATATTGATAGTTTGCATCTGCTAACCCCAAACCCCCTCCCCCTTGGCAACCAAAAGTCTGTTCTCTATGTCTGTGAGTCTGTTTCTGTTTCGTAGATAAGTTCATTTGTGTCATATTTTAGGTTCCACATATAAGCGATATCATATAATATTTGTCTTTCTCTGTCTGACTTACTTCACTTAGTATGATAATCTCTAGGTCCATCCATGTTGTTTCAGTCAGCATTTCTTAAACACTCAGACTGTCAGTGTAAAGTGCTGCTCTGCCTTGAACAAGCCATTCTAGTTTTGCATTTGTGTGCTAATTGCCTATGAGTGGCTAAAATAATATTTTTAGTCAAAAAGAGCTAGATACCCAGTAGTGCTGAGTAAATGGTTTCTGAATGAATAGAATGCAAAATAAGACCAAGGGACAGATGTGGCAAAGACAGGTATCCACCCTTTCCCTTTGGTCTTGGGAGGACAGTTAGGCCCACCTCCCAAGCCTCCATTGCACTTAGGTGAGGCCACATGGCCAAGTTCTGACCAATGGCATGTGAGCGGAAGTCATGGGGGCCACTTCTGGGTTTGGCCCATAAAATCCTCCTCTGCTTGCTCTTTACTCTCTTTCTCCATATGCCAGCTGAATGGAGAGGATGCTGAGGACCCAGAGGAGGACAGAGCCACATAAGAAGAGGGCCTGTGTCCTCAAATGACCCCAGAGAGCACAGACTCCCCTTATCCTAAACCCTCTTCTGGACTGTGAAATAAGAAAGTAAACTTTCATTGGGTTAAGCCACTGCGTCTGGGAGTTGTTTATTATAGTGGTTCGCCACACTGACTAGGTTTGTGGTTAAACAGAACAGGCCCACGATAGCTTAGGGGTCCAGCATTCTGGATGTGATAGACAGGACGAGGGTTGGCAATGGCAGTTCCCCTTTGCTCCCAAATGTCTCTACTGCAAACTTGTTGTAGATTTCTCATTCCCTGCCGACCGGCCTCACTCCAATGTCCCCTAGACCTCTCTTCTTAATTTCCTTTCTGTCCCTGCAATCCCCTTACACACACACACACACACACACACAGCAACTGCAGACTTTGGAACCTTGACCTGAATGTAAGAATTCACACCATAGAGACTAGGTGGCGGGCAGCAAAGCTATTTAGCTTGTGAGTTCCCTGGCACAGGCCTGGCCTTAAACATACTTCTCACATGAGGAGTCTTATGCCTCCAGATCAGTGGCATGCATTTCACCCTGTGCACATCCTGCTTCCCTAATAAGACTGTAAGCGCTTGTCTTACATGTCTTTGTATCCCAATGACTGTCACCAAACGGGTGCCTGCTTTGTCACTGACGGTAATTGAGGCTGACGTGGATCCAGAGGAGTGAAAACTGTGCAGGGATCACCGAACCGCACAGGCTGCTCTAAATCCAGAGATGGTTATTTTTGTGTAAAAGATCAAGAAGGTGGAGCATCGTACGGAGAGACAAAACCAATACTTCAATTCCCCTGAAACTCTGCAGAGAAGATAAACTGCGAGCAGATTTTACACTTTCAAAAGCTGTGGGAAGAATGCAGTGATTGAGGAAGGGCATTCTCTCCTGCAGGAGCAGGAGGTTGAGTCATGAATAAACAAGCCAGACAGCACAGAGGAGGTGTGAACTGCAGTGGAAAGTGGAGAGATTGTGCATTTGAATTCTGACTCTGCCATTTACCACCGGCATGTCTGTGGGCACAGGGTATCATGACGCTGAACCTCAGTGTCCTTATCTAGATAATACAAAATGGAGGTAATACGTACTTCATAGAGTTGCTGTGACTAGTAAATGAGATTGTGCCTGGAAAGGTTCCAGCACAGAGCAGGGTTCAGTACGTCGCAGCTCCTCCAATGAATGCCATGTGTGAACACACAGATGGTGAGCATCACCATCCCAAAGTCCAGAGCAACTTTCAGAAGATTATAGACTGATAAGAGAATGAGGATAAACTCTTCCTCTTCACGAAGTATCAGTTGATGCATCATCACCAAGACTGTTAGATATTAGATCGCAAATTAGGCCATTCATGAACCTATTTTGCAGAAGCCTTTGGCAAAATGTCTCAACAGTTGCAGAGTCATTTAAATTCTAGTGACTGTGCCTGTTTTGAAACTAGCTATGCTTAATTCTTCCTCCTAGATAATATGACTTATATCTTAATTTATGTCTTAGATTTTTAATATGCTATTAATCCTGGAGTTTTTTTTTTTTGCTTAACCCTGGAATTTCTACCACGAATTTAAATTTCTTGTAGCTAATATTAGCAGAAACTTTCTAAAAGAAGGATGCCAATGTTCGGACCTGTTTTCTTTCTTGCTTATTTTGTTTTGTTTTTATTTTTTGTGGTACGCGGGCCTATCACTGTTGTGGCCTCTCCCGTTGCGGAGCACAGGCTCCGGACGCGCAGGCTCAGCGGCCATGGCTCACGGGCCCAGCCGCTCCGCGGCATGTGGGATCTTCCCAGACCAGGACACGAACCCGTGTCCCCTGCATCGGCAGGTGGACTCTCAACCACTGCGCCACCAGGGAAGCTCCTCTTGCTTATTTTGGATAGATAAAAGCAATTGCCATGGGAGAAGATGCTGATGCTTGTGGTCACCTCACACCAGCTGACAGTGCCAGTGTTTTAGTGATATCTTTCATGCCAAGTTACAATCTTATATTTATAGGGGTAAGCCAGATTATTGCATGAAGGACCCAGAATGTACTACTGTAATGTTACTTCACAGTTATAACTGATTCATGGAGAATGTCACTAACCATACTACACAACTGCAGTTGCATTTTTAGTTTTTCCTTCCACTTGTCTGATGTCCACTTCTGACACAGGTTGTTAGTTAACTAGGCTGTGTAACAAATTAACTCCACAACTTAGTGGCTTGAAACATTTATTATCTTAGAGTCATTTCTGGGTCAGGAATCCATGTGCAGCTTAGGTACATCCTTTGGCTTGGGTCTTTCACAAGGCTGCGATCAAGGAGTTGGCTAGGGCTACCATCGTCTCAAACCTCAGCCAGGGAAGGATCTGCTTTAAGCTCGCTCAGATGGCTGCGGCAGGCCTCAGGTTCTCACTGGCTGTCGGCTGAAGACACCAGTGCCTTGCCACGTGAGCTTCCATATAGGAATCCTCACAGCACGGCAGCCCTCTCCAAGAGGGAGAGAGCAAGAGATGGAGAGAGAAGGTAGTGCTGTCTGAATGCTTTTATCCCCCCAAAATTCATGTGTTGACACCTACCCTCCAAGGTGATGGTATTACAAGGTGGGGCCTTTGGAAGGTGATTAGGTGATGAGTACAGAGCCATCATGAATGGGATAAGTGCCCTTAAGAAAGCAGCTGAGAAAGCTCCCTTGCCCCTTCCTCTCTGTGAGGATACAATCAGAAGCCAGCAGTCTACAACCCAGACAAGGGCTCTCACCAGAACCTAACCGTGCCGGCACCCTGACCTCGTACTTCCAGCCTTCAGAACTATAAGCAAATTTCTGCTGTTTGTAAGCCACACAGTTCTATGGTATTTTGTTATAGCAGCCCGACTAGGATAGTAAGCAAGACAGAAGACGCTGAGTCTTTTTGTAACCTAATCTTGGAAATGACATCCCATCACTTTTGCCATATTCTGTTTGTTAGAAGCAAGTCACCAGGTTCAGCCCACACTCGAGGAAAGGGGAGGACTAGAAGTCATCTTGGAACCTGCCTACCTCACAAGAATGCATTAAGTGCATCTCAAACTAATCCTGGTGAAGGACCAGCTTTTTTTCCCCAATTTGTTATAGGTCAGTACTTCCGTACAATTAAAAAAAAATTCATTTCTAGAAAAATTAAGTAACAAAAGTATACAAAAGCAAACCCACTGATCATGGGTTGGTTGTTACAACAATGTCAAATTACTATAAACATTTCTAAACACTCTCAATTCTATTACTCTCCTCATCTGAACCAGAAACAAGCAGTTTATGGACTGATCCCAGTTTTGGACTATCCTTTGAGTAGCACTGATTTAAGGATTTTAATAAACATAGATAACTTTTCAAGACTTTTACAAGGCAATGGTGGAGGTATTCTAGAAAAAAAACAAAAAAGAAACCCCAACCAAACAAACAAACCCATTCTCACTCCACTCTCTCTGCCTTCCTAAAAATGGGACCTTTTGTTATGTTGAAGGTCAAAGGTGTGTAGGACTGATGATGAGTCTCCTGTTTCATATTTGGCCTCAAGGTCCTTTCTGTGCCCCCCTTCTCACCAGTCCATAATCCACACATTTGAATTGAGCAGTCTGACAGATACTGTGATTATCAGCTCACATTTTAAAGGTGGAGGGTCAACCTCTATCGCCAACCACATTAGGAAGGAAGTTTGAAGGTCCTTTCTGTTCCTAGTCTATTAGGATCCCTCAAAACGCATCTTAAGTGTAAATGCCTCAATTCAACTGAAAAAAATATGTCTTGAGCTCCGACTGCGTGCAAGGTTCTAGGAGATACCACCTTAAAGAAGGTACCATCTCTGTTCTCACCTGGGTTACAGCACTTCCTGTATAGTCATTTATA